TTTGTCTAGCTAAAGGTATGTCAATTTTGTTTATCTTCAAAAAAAACAGCTTTTAGTTTTGTTGACCTTTTCTTTTTTCTGTTCTCTATTACACTTGTTTTGCTCTTTATTATTTCCTTCATTATGATAATTTTAGGCTTAGTTTGTTTTTCTTTTAGTTCTTCATGGTGTAAAGTTAGATTGCTTATTTGAGATTCTTCTTTTTTACTTGGGTACTTATCCCACTCAGAACTTCTTTCACAGTATCCCATAGGTTTTGGTATGCTGTTTCCATTTTTATCTGTTGGAGAATTTTTTAAACATCTATTTTGTTTTTTTCTTTGACCCATTGGCTGTTCAAGAGTGTGTGGCTTAATTTCCACATGTTTGTGATTTTTTCCAGCTTTCCTATTGTTATTGGTTCTTAATTTCATACCATTGTGGTTGGAAAAGATACTTGATATGATTTCAGTCTTACATTGCTAAGACTTTAAGAGCTATCATGATCTGTCCTGGGGAATGTTCTGTGTGCACTTGAGAAGAATGTGTGATCTACTGTTGTGTGGAATGTTGTATATATGTCTGTTAGGTCCATTTGTTCTAAAGGTTGTTCAAGTACATTTCCTTACTGATTTTCTGTATGAGTGATCTATTCACCTTTGAAAATGGGGTATCAAAATCCCATACTATTATTGTATAACAATGCAATATTATTTCTCTCTTTAGATCCATTAGCATTTGCTTAATATATTTGGGTGCTTCTATGTTCAGTACATATATCTAAGGTAATTACATCTTCTTGATAAATCAATCACTTTTTCATTATACATTGACCTTAATTGTCTTTTGTTACAGTTTTTTGATTTTGTCTATTTTGTCTGATATAATTACCCTGGGGGAGGGCTGACACAGGTAAAGTCAAACTGTTCATCTTCACTCTCCGGTTCATCCAAACTCATACTTTTTTCTCCAGTGGTTTCCTGGAACTTCTCCATTGAACACATGGACTTCCCCAAAAGGTCTCATGTCCATGGATGATTTTATAATACAGTGTTCTCCAGGGCTTCTGGGCTGTGGGCAAGAGAGGCTGCAGCTGGCTCACAGGCCACTGCAGGGTCCAAAGCAAGGACTGAGATCTGTACGCCCATCGGTATGTTTGACATGAATGGGTGAGGCTCCTCCAGAGTCCCTAGGTACATGGTCTTGGATCCACTGTTCCCACAAGGGCACTTTTTTCTGGACGGATGCTAAATTGTTGTGGTTGTTGAGGGTGGAGTTATGATGATGGATGTTATGATGAGCCATGTTGCTGATGTCATTCCAATGCTCTTCCAGTTCTTTTTTTTTCATTCCCATTGTTTTATTTTTTCTGTTCATATATTTTTATTATGTATAGTTGATACATGATATTTTTTGGTTTTAAGAATACAATGTAGTGATTTGACAGTTACATACATTACTAAATCCTCATCCCAACTAGTGTAGTTACCGTCCATCAACATACAATGTTACATATTATCTATGCTGTATTTTCAGCCCCATAACTAATTTACATTATGGCTGACACTTTGTGCTCTTCCAGTATTTTATGGGAATGCAGCCTTAGCACACTTGGGGAGAAACGAAGGTGTATAGAGTCACCCCCAGAGGTTAGAGTGTTCTGGTAGCCTCAGTCAACACTCTAGGAGTGGTGGTATGACTTTTACCCATCAAAATAAATTAAACCATATGACCTATTTTCAAATAAGCAAATAATGGAAATGGCATAAAGGGAGAAGGGAACTGTTGTGCATTCAGGCTAATCAAGCCCAGTGACTGGGAATGAAATTACAAAAGAGGAAATAATCCTGCAGGGCACCATCTCAGTTTTGTATGCTATAAACCAATTTAGGCTTTCTGTATTCCTATTTGGTTCTGTATTTGTTTGAAGTATAAAGTATCTCCACAGGCAAAAATGTGCAATAATGTAGGGAAGCTACCTTGAATGTTGTTGGTTGTGGCCTCCCACATGGTTAATTCATGACCAAATAAACTTTTTGATTTTCCTGATTCTCTTTGTCTTTTTTGGTATGTGCTAAGCATTAACATATATTAACAACAAAGTACTGAAAAACTGCTTTTATTCTTTTTCTTATGAAGCATTCAACAAGAGGAGGGTTAGGCTGTAAACAAAGGTATAAATATAAGTTGCCTCTCTATTTTCCTACATCTGATGGTTATGGAAATAGCAGTCTTGCTGTAATCTAATCTTCAATTTCTATTCTAGCTTTGTAATGTAAGGACCTGAGGATATGTCTAGGGTTCCTTATAAATAGAAAATGCTATAAACTGAAATCCTGTGGAGCTGGAAAATATAAAGTAAAATTAATTTACCTGACTTTTCAGTGACCTGGACACCTTTCTTTGATTTAAATGTATGTGTGTTTCAGATTGTATTGTGTTCACAGTTTTTACTTAGTTTGAAGGTCAATATGAATAAATGTAAACAAGGCCATTTTTCTCTCTTAATCTTTATAAAATGTTGTAGTTAGATTAACCATAGAATGGCCTCTACTTAAAGTCATGTTCTACTATTTGGCCACTCTGAAACCATCCAGTATTCTACATAAAATCTTCACAATTACATCATTTTAAAAGTAAACAAAATTCTGTAAACTAAAATATTGGAGATTGATATAGAAGGTACAGTTTTAATTGCTTATCTCAATCATTATTTTAGCTCTTGCAATTTTGGAACAGACTTTTTTGCACTAGAGTAGAAAGTGCTATGAATTTTCTTCCCTGGAAAGTGTAATTTTTATTCAGAAAATTAAATGGTGATACTATCTGTTGTGATTCTTTACATTCCAAATGGAAAGTGATATTAGAGTGGGTGTTCAAAATTTGTTTTGCAACAGTGATGCTTCAAAAGTAGAATCCACTTAAGGCCATCTGAAGACATTGCCAGAAAATGCTTCTGTTACAATCTTTGGTTTCTTCCTTTAAAAATAAATGAAATAAGACTCTCCTTAAATGTTTCAAGTTTCCACCACAGCTCACGATTGGACATTGGAAATGAATAATCATTTCCTTCAAATGGAAAATAAGCATTTGCTTGAAACAGAAGTAGTTTTATCTACCAATCATCTAATCATCTTAATCTTGTAGTATGATGATAAAATATGCCCATGGACTGTTATTTGTAAAACAAGTTCATCAAATGTGCTGTTCATTCTGCTCTGAGCAACAGAGCATTTCAGAACAAATTAACCCAGACTACTAAGCATACTCAAAGCAATAACTTGGATGGTTTTCTGTACTAGCACACTATAGAATATTGGAAAAATAACCATGCTTAGCTACTCAAGTTATAGCCAATATTAAGGTTAGTGTGGTGGTTAAATGCAATGAATGAAATAAGGGTCCTAGAATAATTTGATACTAGCCGTGACACAATCATATTCAAAACACTTTGAGAGTCTAGGACCTAAAGTACAAAGTCAAAGCCCTTAGCCAGGCTAAGATCCTTGATATGCTCACACACCTGGAGACCCCACATCTTCTTTCTACGGCTCAGTGACCCTCTGTCTGGAAGGCTTTTCCTTTCCAACAAAAGACTAAATATTCCCCAAGCCTGAGAAATGAGGAGTTTCTCCACCCATGCAGCCTCCGTCCCTTCATAACATCGCTGCTCGCTCCACTTGCTTCTTTGCCACTTGGTACCATTCACAGCATCGCTGAGAGTCAGCTCTCTGGGAGCACCAGCCTCACTCTACTCACTGGAAACTCTTAGTAATAGGGATTCTCTTTTTCCTTTTTTTTTCATCTTTTGCAATCTGTAATGATTGTGATCAGTACTCAATGGAGGGTGTACAGCGTTTGGATGGCAAGAAGGTAAAACACGTTAGTTTCATGAATAGCTCAAATAAAGCATGTAAATGAGGCTACAAAATAATGTTTAATATATTTCATTTAACAAACTTTTCAAGGATCTAGTATATACTAATTACAAACCAATACTTATGCACTTTTTACACAGGTTCCCAGGATAACTATTTAGTTTTGTATTGACTTAAATTAAAACAGTAAAATTACAAGTATCATGTATCTATTTGAACCCACAAATTGATCTTAGTATCAATAAAAGTGGAACAAGCTGATACTGGGTGTCTCAAGATGTGATACAAAAAGAACATAACACCTTTGTCATATTTGTATCTACAAAATTCAACCTAAATCTAATCAAATTTCTAGGAATTATGGGATAGAGAAAACAAATTAAACAATGTCAAAAGGAAGCTATTGCCCAAATCTAGAAATGCAGAAGAAAATGTACAGGACGTATAACCCAGTTTTTCCAACAAATCAAGAGCACATTAAAAATAAATAAAATAGAGGGCAGGCTGCTATAGACATAAGAAAGATTTAAGTTATACAGAACCAAATGCAATACAGAATTTTTCTGGATCCTAACAGGAACAAACCGACTTTGAGACAACAAGAATAATATTACAAAATAATCATGCTTGTTTTATTAGGTCTAATAATGGGCATTTAAAAAAATCCTTATCAGATGGGGATGTATAGTTGTTATTTAAAAAGAGAAAGAATATACATATTGCAACCATATTTCTTGGTGACTTTAAGTTACAGAGCTTCTCCTGGATACTGTTTAAGGATGAGGTCCCTCTTCCCACTGCCAACCTCAAGAAAGAATCAGGTAAGTCATACAAGTGCTACCAGCAGTTTTCAAAACATCCATTTTCTTTCTCTCTTCCTTCCTTCCTTACCACACACCTAAGGAGTAAATTCAAACATTATTAACTCTGATTCACCGTCCTCAGTTCCCTCAGCTACAAACATGACTGTGGATAAGTCACTGCCAGCCATGGGAAGCACCGGTGAAGGCAATTTTTAACAAAATCACAGAACAAGATAAGACAGTCCCTATTTTATAGAAAAAGAAACCGAGGCTCAGAGACACTGAGTGACTTTCAAGATCAACCTACTAATTACTGGCAGAGCCACGTCGTGAAGGTCCGTCAGCCCAGTGCTCCTCCGCAGGCTAACGGGGCGGCTTGCACGCTTACCTTCCCATGCTCCTTCCTCACATGGGAAATGTAAACATCTCTTTGTGTGAACAAGCGTTCACACTTCCAATACGTCCACCCAGGACTTGTCACCTTCTTGGGTTCCACTGACTTTTTCACAGGTGATGGAGATTTATTTTCCAATTTCTCTTTCTCCATGGATCTGGTGTCCTCTTTGTTTTGATTTGCTGAATTTGGAGTTGCAGGCTTAATGCTCAAAGGCAAGTTTATACCCAAGTTTGGAGGTCCTTCAATACTTTTTAATGTTCTGTGCATAGACTTGATATGGTCCATCATGAGTTGCTTCTGTGCATATAAAAGAGAACAACAGTCTGGACACTTGAAAACAGCCAGCTTATGGTTTTTGATGTGTTGGTCAAAGTGGCAATACAGCAGAGTTTGCAGGGTAAATACAGTGTTGCACATGGAACACTTGCATATTATTTTTGGTTCTCATATTTTGATGCCAGGATGTTGTGTGTAGGCATGGGAATGTGTACTTGGGGCAGACTTAAATGCCATGGGACAAATGGGACCCTTGTAAAAGTGAGAACCTTGGATGTGAGACTTCAGTGCGGCCACATCAGAGTACACAGCACTGCGGTGTACACATTTGTCCACTCTTATCTGCACCCTGCTGGAAATGTGTAGCCAGCGACGTCTCATCCTGGAAAACTTCATTACACTCCAAACATTTCGGACTATGCCTACAGAGCTTGGATGGGTCTTCATCCAGAGGCATAGCTGGAATGATGGGTGTGCTTGAAGGAGCCGATATGACCGTTGCAGTTATGCCAGACTGGATTTTGGTTACAGTGTGTGTGCCGGCTCCCACAGAGCTCGGAGGAGCAGAAGATGAAGCAGAAGTATTGCTTGATGGAGAAACAATCATTTGATCTGCTGGAACGGGCTTTAAAATCAAGTGGCAGCACTGCATCACAACTCCCTTCTCCTTATGCCCCCGGGCATGGGGAAGGAAGACTGAACTTGTTGTAAAAAACGATGTTCTTTGTACAGTGGTTATACATTACTTCAATGCACATGTGCATCTGTCATAGTGCTGAGTCAAACTCTTCTGGAGAGCAAAGGAGTCACCACACTCCAAGTGCTTGTACCCTCCGGTAGGTAACGTGATGCCTGCGTTAGCAGGAGGGCTGAGGTTGGGGATGTAAACTGGGACTGGGTCGACGCTACTCAGCACCTTGTTGAAAGCTTCCACCACAGAACTCTGCAAGGAGGACACCACCTGGATGTGAAACACCTTTTTGGGTGGCTGCGAGGCTGCTGCATTGATTATTGCCTGCTTTATTTGCTGCTGAGGTTTGGTTAGCACTTGGCGGAGCTCAGAGTGGCCGGGGAGCCCTGAGGCAGAAGATTAAGGTTGGCGAGGTGCACAGCCTTTGGCACTGGCCAGGCTGGATGCCAGCACCACAACACTTTGCTGCTGGATGGCGTTGGCAGCTTTAATGATGGTGCTGCTGCTGCTCTGAACGGAGGTGGCAGATATGACCGTGGCTTTGACCGTTGTGCTGTTAGCGAGCTTCAAATTAATAACTTGCGATCCTGCCATCTTCACGGCGGACAGTGGAAAAAAGGCGGTTGCCACAGGCTTAATAGTGACCTGTTTGGGGGTCAGCTCTGCAGGGGCAACTGCACTGGTAACGACCGCCGCCTGCAGTGGTGCCCTGGGGGGAGAGAAAAGGACAGCGGCCGAGGCTGGAAACGACAAAACGATGTCACAGACGCCATCAAGGACCCTGTCTGCTCAGAAGGCTTTTTTCCACAGTTGAGATCAACTTCCAGCAATACCCTTGTCACTGTTCTCTTTATTTCCCTAGATGTCTTAATGGTTTTTATGCGGATTTTGGGAATTGCTGGTATGGATCCTGCCGGAGAGGATGGTGATCCCTTGCTACTGTTTTCACTTGAAATGCTCCTGAGACTATCCGGCTGCTTTGGGGATGCCTTTTTTTTCCCTTCGATGAGACTCTGAGATTCAGGAGAATTCTCAATGGCTCTAGGACTGTCATTTACTTCTTTTAGTAATGGGGAGGATTCCCGTGAGTTGGTCACTGGTTCTTTGCAGGAGTCTGAAGAAGCCTTTTTAGCAGTAAGTGCTGTGATTGCAGCTATACATGAAGAAAGCTTGGAAGATGGCTCTGTCGTCAATGGTACGACGCTGTTAAGGGTGGCATCATTCTTCTCGGAGCTTGGCTTCCCGTCGTGGACCCTGTTTTCAAGCACCTTTTCAGAGTTTTCCTTCAATTTGTCCTCCACTTTTCTGACTTTAAAAGGTTCATGAACACTCAGATTTATAGATTTTGTTTCTGTTTCTCTCTTAACAACTTTGCTTTTATCTGTATTGCCTGAAGTAGAGATCCCAGTTTTGCCTGTTTTCCCCTCCAAGTGTCTTCAGTTTATCACAGTCCTGTTGGAGAGCCGAGCCCGTCAGCACGTTCGATGTGAAACCTGGATGCATGTCCTCTTTATCAAGGGGGTTGTCCACCTCAATCTTCTCATTGTCATCAAATCTTCAGCACTTGAGATAGGGCTAAACTGGCTGAAAGCTGAGTCTTTTAAAGTCACCTCTGAGGGAGGCACATCTCCTTTCAAGGACTTCGACTTATCTTTACTGTAACTGTCAAGAGAGGACATGGTGAGAAAGCCATTACACAAGCCACTGCCCGTGGGACTGCAGCCATCTTTCTCCACACCCTTGGAGGAATTGCTGTTAGGAACATTCTTAACGATAAAGCTGACACCAGCATCAGAAGAGGTAGTGTGTGGGAGGCGTCAGCAGCACGAGCGTGCTGCTCGATGTGGCTCTCCTGCTCATCGTGTCCAGACTCAATGGCTGCTTTTGGATAGACCATATCTGAGATGTCAAACACTGCCAGGAGGTCATCAAAGCCTGGGGTCTTCATATCCCCCATAGTCATGAATTTGATCAGATGTTCTTGTGAACCTTGACCTTTTGGGAAGACTCTGGACCAATGTTCAGTTACTGTCACACAGTCGCATTCTCTGCAAATATGAAAGAGTTAAAAGCAGCCCCAGTCAACAGGCCTTTTGGGCTTCATAATAGTCAGAAGTATCCCCAACACCCTTTTGTAGCTTCTAAAAGGAAAAGCACAAAACAGAACACACCCTTCCTGCAGGCTCCTCTGCTTCTGGCTGCCATGAAGGGAAGAAGCTGCCATTCCACTGTCTAGCTCAGTGACCACACTGTGTTCAGGTGCTGATCTGCCTAAAACCAGTTTCAGCTGGGTCTGGTCACCCCACATAAAAAAGCTATGGCAACCCTTGCCGAGTTGCCAAGTCTCTCCCACAACCTGGCTCAGGTCGTTCTCTGTGCTGGTGGCTGACAAAGAGCCCCGAGAAAGCCATCATCTCTGTGTCTGCTGGCTGGCTGCGCCGGCTGCGGGAGCCGGCCTCGGGCTCCCCCTTCCTGGGGCTGCTGGGCTTCGCAGCAGACAGGGCCGCAGCTCGAGGACCTCTTGGGCCCTCTGACCACACATCCCAGAGGGACAAACTGCAGCCAATCTGGAATTTTTAAGCTACTTGAACCCTCAAAATTTCCTTCTAATTCCATTGTGTGTGTGTGTGTGTGTGTGTGTGTGTGTGTGTGTGTGTGTGTGTGTTGTGGAATTGGGGGAGGGATCTGTATTTGAATGAATTGTTTAGCAACAGAACAATTCACACTTAATAGTTACTTTAGAAGTACAAGTATTGTTTTGTAGATTATATGATCTGAAGAAAGAAAAACAAAATTAAAAAGCGTACCAGCATACCTATGTCTACATAAAAAGCACACACATGTTTGGGCAGGGGGTACATTAGTTTTACATGGCACTTCCAAAGAATAGAAATAAATTTGGCTGACAACAATATTCATAATATTTGTTTTAAGGTACTAAAACAGGTTATGCATTTAAACAAATAATTTAATATGTAGTTAAGCCAAGAGGCTTTTTAGAATAGTCAGCAGTGCTTACATATAAAATGAAGGGTGGGCCTTATCAAAGAAACAACAGAGATGGACGGTAAAGTGGAAAAAACAGATCTTATTCAGGATTATTCTGATAGAGAAGAGACCTCTGTTGTCAAACTGGGCTCAACTCCAAATACAGGGTGGGCAAGTAGGAATTCATAGGCAAGGAACAGGTAGGTGTCAGTGGATGTAAAACCACTAAGAGGAAACGTCAAGAGTAGGGATTTGTAGTCACAGCCCAAATTCCCACCATGTGTTTCATAACAACCCATCCCCCTCAACGGATGCAGACGGCCCACAGTGAAACACGGGCCTTTACCCATCCAATCCCTTTCTCCCATGCTCTCATCCTTAACAGACAGACTTTAGGCTGGGGTAGGCAAGCAGACTTGAGCTAGCCTCCTGTCTCCTCGATTGGCTAGCTTGCAATAAAACTCTCTCTCTGCAGAAGATGGTGCTTCCAAATTGGCTTTCTGATGCACGTGGGCAGACGGACCCAACTCAGGCAGGTATGCTGAGGACAGGAAATGATTGAGAACCATCTCTGTCCAGTTGGGAAAACGTACTGACCACTGACACTGTGCTCTTCATACAATGGGTTTATCTCTCTACTAAACTGACTGTCTTACGGATCATCTGTGACTCTCTGACATCCTTTCAGTGTTAGGAAACAGCTGGCAATCCAACAGCCAGACTAACAGTGTGGTCTGGAAACCAGCCCTTGGAAGCAAGATGCTTAGAATCAATGAACAGATCAGATTTCATTGTGGCTGTGTTGGCATGAAGGAATCTTCTCCTCTACCACCTATGTTTCAATGGCTGAGGGCCTGTGAACTAACTGACAACAGACAGATTGTGACAACTGAGAATAAACAGAAAATGCCAGGTTTATTCATAGGTGCAAGTGGGAGTAGCTCAATAATAAGTAATTCCTCCAAGAGCCAGAAGTAAAGATTTGTACAGCACTTTGACAAGAAGGGAGGGGCTTAGGACTTCAGTGGGAAAGCATGGAAGGTTCTGTAAGCTTCTTGATGTGAATAGCAATAGACAATCTGTTTCTGATAGCGGAATTCACAGGAAACTCCCTGGAGGTGGAATATTGGCAGCTGTATTTTCTGAAGGTTCTGCTTTAGTCAGTTAAGGGAATTCAAGTAAGGTTTCTGTGTGCCAGATGTTTTCACCTTAAAATCTTTATACAGAACCCAAGAGTGGACTAAGAGTTACCAAAGGGAAAGGGACTAGGGAGGATGGGTGGGAAGGGAGGAGAAAGTGGGGGAGAAGAAAGGGGGCCTTACAATTAGCATGTATAATGTGGGAGCCATGGGGAGGGCTGTGCAAAACAGAGAAGACAAGTAATGATTTTACAGCATCTTATTACGCTGATGGACAGTGACTAATGTGGTATGTGGAGGGTACTTGGTGAAGGGGGGAGTCTAGTAAACATAATGTTCCTCATGTAACTATAGATTAATGATATCAAAAAAAATCTTTATGCACAAGCTGTGATTCCTTCATTTGTCAAATTCAATGTGTTCATCCAATGCTTTCTGTGTGCCAATCACCCGCAGAGTCAGAGGACACTTACTGCTGGGTAAACACAGTGCTGGCCTTCACAACATCTCTCTTCCAAGGAACACCCAAATATCCCAAGCAGGCTGGGAAGAGTCCTATGGTTCACTTATTTGGAAATGTCTGATGAGGACTTCCTAAGCATTCCGCGGCTGGAGGCCCTGGGGAGGGAGCCAGGGACAAGTCAGATGAAGGTCGTGGTCCCGTAGGCTTTGCAGGAAGCAAGGGCCAGAGAGGCTGTGGCAGAAGAGGCGTAGGGACAGCGGGGACCAGAGGCAAGCCCTTCAGGGCAGGGGAGCACTAAGCAAGGTTTAGGGAGACAAGAAATGGTGAGGAGACAGAGATGCTGTCCGTAGAACTCAGAACTCTTTGCCACAGCACCTTTGCATCAACCCTCGGACTGCATTATGATCTTTATTTTGGACATAAGATAATCAGAGGCATTTTCCTGCGTTTACAACCTTACTTCATGGCATCTATATAGAATTTGCTGTGGACATAAAGTGACATATTTGAATGTATTGACATGATGTTTGATGCATACTGGGATCTCAGTGAATTTTTTTTTAAATCTGATATAAAAATGCTATTTGCACATTAAGCCTTATATTTTATCAAACTAAGATGGACAGTCCATAGGATAGCAGATTTGTTTCATTAAATATGGCTTAAAAGCTGGATCTAAATAAGTTTTGCCCTAGTCTATGATCTGCCTAAGGCGAATGTACTGTCAAGGTGCTGTGTACTGTGTTTGGACTTGCAAAGCTGTCTGATGAAGCAGGAATTCTTTCAGGAATCTGTGAAAAGTGGTCTGCTAGAAAAGTACCAGTGGCAGGATGCCATGTCACCCTTTGCAGAATTTTTCTGACAGGTTCTCTGAAAGTTGAAACTATGCACCTTTTCTCAATAGGGGCACTTAGCCAGCCTTTCTCTACTCCAAGGCAGGTAGACAGACTGAAGCATTTAGAAACCTGAGAGCCGTCCACCTTCATGTCCCCCTGTTCCTCACTGTGCTCTTTTTGCTGCAGTCCTGTGTCTGCCCGGCCGCCACCCTCAGGCTCACTGATGCTCTGGAGAAGACAGCTGGGTCCTAATGCTTTGTGTCATTGTGCCCTTTTGTAAAGGTCCGAGCCATGGCTGAGGTCGGACCCCAGCCCTTCTAAGATGGCGCTCACATCCGGTAATGGCACATCCCACGCATCCGCTCTGCCGAGTAGGAGAATCCCCCTCCCAGACCTTATAAGTAGTTCCGTGCTCATGCACACTGCATGATTTCTGCCCTGTAGCCAATAGAGTTAAAGGTCACACATGCTCTCCCCTTTGATTGGTCTAGGAAACATATATATAGCGGTAGTTAGTAGTAGGAAAAAAGAGAAGCCAGCAGAACCAGAAGCTAGCGAGCCAGCCTGCAGAGACAGAGGAATAAGCTAGAGAGAAACTAAAAGAGCTCTAACTCATACTTGCCTGCGTGCAAGCTACAATCTTTCTGTAACACCGCCTGTGAGAAGGAATTAAAGCTGATTGAAACCGAACCAGGTCTCCTGTGATTGCATCGACTCGGCCCACGGGAAGTGGGCGCGATAGCTGGTGCCGAAACCCAGGAACCTCTCCGAGCTCCGCGCGTAAGTCAGAGCTTTCTTCGCGAGACACAACCACCCGGCAGAACTGGCAACTGCGGACGATGTAGAGCTTCTTTCCCTGCAATGGTTCCAGTGGACTCCATTCGGAAAGATCACCAGAGAAGCCACCGGAGAGGAGGGTGAGTGGACCAATGAGCAAAACGAAAGTAGGGTTAGAAAAGGTGAGAGTGAGCAGTTGTGGTGGGTGTTCCTGTCTTGTCTGATTGTCATAGTGTTCCTTGTTGTACTGTTTTGTATTGTCATGTATGGAATGAAAGGACACAGGTGAAAGTTCGCGAGGTTGCAACGAAGCAATAAAAGTTCACGGGATAGCAAGGAATGCAATAAAACTTCACGGGATAGTGACAAGAATACCCCTTACCCACTCAAAATTTACCAATCTCCCTGTAAAAAATGGGATCTGAAGTGTCTAGACTCAGAGCAGAGGAGCCTTTAAGGGCGCTCCTGAGAGCAAACGGGACCCCATTAAAAGCAAAAACCTTAAGCCTTCCTCCACACAGTAGAGAGACATGCTCAGTGGTTCCTAGATGAAGGAAAAATCACTGCCCCTTTGTGGGAAAGGCTAGGCGATGATCTCCGCAAAGCAGATCAGATGGAACCGCTCCTGGCTGGGACGCTTCCCATATGGGGCCTGGTTAAGAGCTGCCTAAAAGAGAACAAACCTAGTTGTAGAGAAGCAGTTATTGAAATATCACATCACTAGAGACCAAGCAAGAGCCATAGTAGTCAATTGCAAATG